AGGTGCCCACGGCACCCCACCCTCTTTTTCATTTGACGATAGGATCGAGTTAAAATCACCCATGACAACAAAAGGTTTCGTAATCCCCTGTCAGTACGCACACAGGACCTCTAACTGGCCCCTTCGCACCAACTCGAGACAACTCACATACACACACACACACACACACACCACCACATAAGGAATCTCAACATTATTAATGAGTACAACAATAAAAAACGATGAACTACAAATAACCGAGGCACAAGTGCACGGGGACCACCCTATCGCTAAGCCACTAGACATATCGACGGCATCAACAAGAAAACGACAATCCGACTCAAAACCTAACACCCGCATACGACGGGAAACAACCTTTCTACGAGATCTTGTTTCCGACAAGAAAACCAGATCCGGATTATTCATTCTAACCAACCCTAACAGCGATTGGAACATGAGGGACGGCCCAATCCCTCTCACGTTCCAAGACAGAAGTCTCATTTATCCGATTGGGGCCATTTCGGGCTGGCTACCTCCACCATGTCTTTAGGCTTCTCGCCTGAATCTTTAGCGCACATCTTCCTTGTCGGCGTCGGATCTTGCGCAAGATCCTCCACCATATCCACCGTTCGCTTACGAACTTCGAGTTCCTCCTCCGAGACTGCCATTTTAAACACCTCCGATAGCCTAGTCAAGTTGGACCCATACTCGTCGGCCACCGCCACGGACACATCCCTTGTCTCGGCCACCGTCACGGTCCGCTCCCTTGTCCCGACCCCCACTTCCATCGTCTTCTCCCCCGCCGTGATCTTCCCTTCAGCCCCAACCATCTCAACACTACCCGCCGCCAGAGACGACCCGTCCTTCTTATTCTCCATTTCGGCGGCACTCTTCTCCTCAGAATTCGGCCCTTCCATCCCCTTTTCCATCTCCGATCGAGCACTCCTCTGCTGCTTTCCAGCCTCCAAAACACGCCCCTCCAATGCCCCATCCTCTCTCCTTGTCTTCCCTTTCCCATTACTCTTTGGCCCATCCCCCTTCTCAGCCATCACCACGTCACCACGTCCCCCCTCAGCAGGCCCCTGCTTACCACGAGGGCCAGCGACCATCATCTTCACCGACTTTCTGCCCTTCGATTGACTCCCACCATCCTGCCTTTTACGGCCACCCTTCGGTGTGGCTCCTGCCCCTACTCGCCTTCCAATCTCACGGCCACCAGTACCTTGTAATCCTTTCTAGGGCGGCCACCAGCCGCGGGGATAGCCAGCACTGTCTCACGGGATGACCCCATCTCATCAGGCATCACCTTCACACCATGGGAGGAGGGTGTTGCTGCTGCCTGTCCTTTGGTTTTGGGGTTTACCCAGACCGGGAGGCGGCAAGAAATGGGCGGCTTTCAGCGTCTCCTCATTGAGGCAAAATTCGACTTTTGTTGTCGACATCTCCTGGTCGTACCTCTCGTCGCCAATTGGGTCAGGGTAGACACAATTTCGCTCCATGTGCCCCAACCGCCCACAATGGAAGCGGAACAATGGGAGGAACTCATAATCAAACGATACCCAGAATTTCCCAGCTACATCATTACTCGCCCAGATTTGAGATCGCAGCGGCTCCAAGACATTAATCTTAACACGAACTTTAACAAACTGGTCCGCCTCACCTTTAATCCCGAACAGTCCAACATCCAGAATCTCCCCAAGCTTTGTTTCCGCAACTCTTCTTCCGAACGCAATCGTGCGGCAATGGGATGGGATTCCCCACATTTGAACCCAGAACGGAGCAAAAGCTAAGGAAGCAAACACCTCCTCCATGACTGGTGTCCACGGCTGCAACTGCAGAACCCGGTCTTTGATCGGCCAAGGTGTGCATTTCAGCACCCAGTCCATGTCGTCGGTATCATCAAACAGGAACTGAAGGAGGCCCATCTCCGCCTCTAACACCTGCACCTTCTTGCGGCATTCCCAAGCTTTTGTCACGATTTTGTGGATGACTGATAAGCTTGGCCGGTTCTCAATGAAGAGTCTTCCCAGCAAGCTCATCTTAGCCCTTTGCATGCTTACAACGACATCATTAGTGGAGAACTCCACAATCTGGTCCATACAAATATTCGACCCCGCCATTGATATCTGCTCCAGCTGAACGTTGCTTTATTTCAACGGCCAAGCATTGCCACCAGGTATTTCCAACCGAGAAAAGGCTCGGAAGTCCTTTATTCTTTGTAAACAAGAAACCAGCCAACCCTTAAACTGTTTTTGTACGGGTAGGGTAGTGCAGAACTCGGTTAGGTTTAAATAACCACCAAGAGTCGTATCCCACGCGGGGGATGCCGGTTGATCTTGGAGAATAACCCAAGGGTTTATTCCAAAAACAGAAAGATCTTGAGATCGATCCTGATCTCCATCCCAACCACCCGTATAATTACGGTTCAAGTAAATCTCTTTCCTTATTTTAAAATTAATATTATCAATAATATTAATATCACTCTCCAAACAGTTGTTGCGTATTTTTCGGCAACCACTCCATGTCAGCTCCAGGGAGCAAGCCTCACCGTCGATCGACGGTGGTTTCCGCTTGCCGATCCGGCTCCATACCCCATCTTGGTGTATGGTCGAGCGCCGGCCTTCACCTGAACTTCTTACCTTAGCTATCGTTTCCATCTTACTAGGGGTCCAATCACTCCCCCCATCCTTTTTGCTCGGATTTGTATCGGATAACACGACCATGGACATCACACCACCTTGCGCGTCTTCCAGCCAACGTTTCTTCGCCGCCGTGCGCGCCATAGGGCTCGCAACAAACCAAATACCAGACCACGCCTTGATAACCCCTTCTCGAACACATCTCAGCCAATGCACCAGCATTGCTAGAATTTCCATCGCTTCATCCTTCGAAAGCCAAATGGAGAAGAAGAGAAAGCAAGCTCCGGCCACTTCCACGGTTTTTCGTAGGAGAGAGGACAGAGCGCGGCACATACTTTTTTTTATATTCCGTACTCAACACCAATATCTTACTCCCTCTCATTCCAGTTTAAAGTTACACTCTACATATCAAATTCTAAACTTGAATTGTCAATAATATTTAATATGACGTAGTGTTTAGAATTATAACTAGTTCATGCATGTTCAGTCATAACTATATTCATATAGTAATCACTAGATGAATTTCTTGCACCAATCAAGTTGCACAAATACCTAAAATATAATTTAAAACTTAATGACTTTCGTGTAAATTCACACATTTTGTCACTTCTCATGAAACTAAGATTATTTTGGCTTTGATCAAATGATCAAAATGATTATTATACGATACACTCAAACTCAATATCAAAAGTGTGTCAATCTTCTTGTCGTGTAAATTCACACATTTTTTCACTTCTTGTCATGAAATCGAAATTATTTTTACTTTACTAAGATCGCTTCTTGTCGTGTAAATCTTCACTTGCTCACTAAAATGACAATCGCAATCTTTCATTAATACACCTATATTTTATTACAATAATTCGAGATTGAAGATAAAAAAAATTCATAACGATGAAAACAGAGAAAGAGATGGTGTATATTTGTTGTTTTGTTTCCTAATATGGTAAGAAGAGTAAATTTTTAAAATAACAAATCTGATCACGAATACTATATCGATATCAACAATATCAACACTTATAATTCATCAAAATGTGATGTTTTATACAAATACCGTATAAAAAATAACATGTATTATGGTATGTGGTTTTGTGTGATGATTGAGTCCAAATAACAAGTTTGACAAATACTAAATTCAAACCACCCATAAGGATATTCTTATTGAACGTTTGAAACGGAAATGAGTGTACTTGGAGAATCAATAGATGCATATATACCGTTCATTAATTCCTTTTGCCTGTCTATAAAAAGATAAGGGTATAACTGGAATATATAACAATTATTAGAGACAAAAATGAAATAAAAAGATCGGTCCACATTCTCTCAAAAAGATTTCATCTTTTGGCCACTACAAAAAAAAGGAGGTTTGGGGATGACAAAAGTCGTCCCCATAAATAGCAAAAATCGTCCCTATAATTTTTGGGGACGACTATGTTGTCCCCAATTTGTGGTTCCCTATACTCTTGTCATCTATTCTTTTGGGGACGACAAAATCTTAGGTCGTCCCCATTACTAGGGACGACAATCGTCCCCAATACTTGCGATTCGACGTCTTATTTCTTTTTCATGAAAGACAACTTGTCGTCCCTATAGACATGCCTTTGACGACAAGAAGTCGTCCCCAGAACATTACTTTTAGAGACGACATGTTGTCACCTATATGGCTTTGGGGACGAATATTTGCCCCTTAACTTGTGTGCAGAGGACGATGAGTTGTCACCTATGCAACTTTTGGGGATGACTATATGTCCCTTACTTATGTCTTTAGAGTTAAGGAATCGTCCCCTATGTAACTTGTATAAAGGACATGTTGTCCTTGAACTTATGTCTTCGATGACGACTAATTGTGACTTATATTCCTTGTGGGGATGACTAGTTGTCCCTAACCTATGTGTTTGGGACGATTAATTGTCACCTATGAAACTTATAGGGACGACCAACCGTGCCGTAAGAGGTGCCTTCTGGGTTGCTAAATTGTAACCTGACAACCAATTGTCCTTTAAACTCAATCTACGGGGACGACTAATAGTCACCTATGTAACTTGTAGGGATGACTAGCGGTCCTTTAAACGGTGTCTTCAAGAACGACAAAATTCACACATTTGTAAGTTGTAAGGACGATCATTTGTCCCCTAATCAATGTCTCGGGAAAAGCCAAATTGTCAACTATGTTATTTTCAATGGGAAATGTTTGTCACGTGAATTATAATTGATATGGAGGAGTTTATGTTGAACAACAAAGCATGCTAAAAGTCAATAGAGAAAAATGTCATAAAATCATCTCAATATCAAAATTAACAACAAATATAATACAATATAATCTTAATCTCATACTAGTAAGCTAATATTCATCATTTGAAATGCTAATAATGCTAACACTTGTCTTTTCTATTATGAGATTAAGATGACAGTGTCAAATGATGAAAACTAATATGTCAAATGAGTTAGAAAATTGGGGATACACTGCATTATTTGTATGCTCACTCAAGACTATCAACCTGGGTAGTGGCAACAGTGACACTGTCTTTTCCTCCGCCATACTTTCATTTCAGAGGCCCCAAAGCAGTGCCCATCCATTCAGAAACTTCCAACTGCTTCACCTTGTTCGACTTGTCCGGCACTCCGGCACTCCAGCACACACTAATGCATTGTTTGTGGCAATCCAGGTACTGTTCGACTTTCCCTGGCAACAATATATGGAGATTCCCTATTAGTGGGCTTCCTTATCCCAAACACTAAACACCGAAAGCCAGCAAAGAAACAAACAGTACCTATCACCTAAGCAATACCATGGAACTTCTTTTAAGCCCTAAACACAAAGAAGAGGGGCAATTTCATCATGATAGACGCGAGAAGGGGTGGGAAAATAGAAAGACAAGTATTGCAGGTTTTAGAAATATCTAACTGAAGGAGAATAGCTTACCAAGAAATAATCGTAACGTAATCAAATGAGAGCTCGAAAAGCAAACTATAACCAGCCGGACGGAGCCGGAGAAGAAGCATAAAGGCAGCTCGGGAAATCTTAGTATAATGAACAAGAAGATGTATTATAAGGGAGAAAAAATGATTTGTGTTTATCTCGAGAGATTCTTTCTCGCCTAAAAGGTTTTTTTGTTTATTTTAAGGAAAACAAATCAGACTGGAAATCAAATTACCGCCAAAGCCAAAAACCAAGCCCGCCAAGAGGGAAGAGATATAAGGATATTTGTGTTTTCCTTCGTATTATTTTGCGGGACGGAACTGAATGCGGGAATTGAAAGGGATTTTTTTTTCAAATAAGGAAGTGGATTTTTTATGGAGATTGGATTTTTTGAGTGGCCACTGGCGACGAAGATTGTCAACCGGTTTAGTCCTTGGTCCGGTTGGTGGCTCGAAAGGCCCTTTCTTTGTACCCGATAGCGAGTCGTTCTTTTGATTTTACTGCCTGGTTGAGGCATATGATGTAATGATCTATTCTTTGTTATCAATATATGATTATCTTTTGTCAAAAAAAAAAAAAAAGTGGATTCAGAGTTAATTGTCCGATCATTTTAATCTGGATTTATGAAAAAAGTCATTATATTTAGGGATGGCATATGAACGGTTCTATCTACGGTTAACCTACTATTCTATAGAATTTGACCACTCAATAATAAACCATTAATTTTTTCGATTCATCGTCCTGTCGGTTCTGAAAACAGAAAACAAATATAATAAACTAACCAAAAAAATCATAATTCAAACATAAAAAGGAAATAACCCTCCCACTCCCACATTCCAACTTTTTTTAAGAAAATAATAAAAAATAAATGGAAAAGGAAAACTGAAAACCACCTACAACTCAAATTCTCCAAAGGGTAAAAGAAAAAAGGACATAGGAAAAAATATTGTGTTTCGCATTTATCATAATATGCTTGGAGACCAAAAGATCGCCCAGTCTAAAAATAAGCAACAATAAATAAAAAAAGTTCGCCAGCCTGCAACTGCAAGCGAAAAAACCCACTCCAGTTTTGTGATTTGAGCGAGATTTGTTTTGGGGACAACTAAATAAAATTAATAATTAATAAAAATTACATTCCTTATTCTATAGGGACAATTTATACGCTTGTCCTTTATACCACTTAAAATTGTATTTGCGGAGACAAGATAAAGGAACTGTCCCCTAATATTGGTCCCCAAACCTCCTATTTTTTTGTAGTGGGCTCAGATTGACAATAATTCATAATAAACTATTCATATTTATTGCAATTGTCCTATCAAAAGTTAAATGAATATATTGTGTTTAAAAATAAAACAAAAAGAAAAAAAGAAAAATTCTCATGATTATATGAATTATCTAAACACATCACCCTAAAATTCCAACCTCCAAACCACCTCTTAATTTTTTTATGCGATTTCACCGGTGCATTTTTCCCAATATATTACTAGTTTTTTACCCGCCCGTTGGGCTGTGTATTTTGTTTGGTTATTTTATAATTCGTTATAGTATTCTAATTGTTATTATTATTTGTGATTGTTAAGGTAATATATATGGAATTGTAAATCCCACTTACCTTATTACAGTTATTGTTTCATACTTTATACCTTTTGTTTATTTATGAACATTTTAATTTTATTAACTGAGCTCTTTGTATATTGTTCTTTATTGATTTAGAATTTTTTTTTTATCGAACTCGCCCTTTAAGATTATAAACATAAGATTTATTCATTCTTTAGCACACAATTGTGATAAAGAAGTTAAAAAATTTACAGCCACAAAAGAAGAAGTTAGTGTTTGTGCCTCGATACCCCCGAACGATAATCCTTCACCTTTCCACTCTTCTGCCACCCGAGCGTCTGGAACCTACACCCACAAGCGCCTAAGGGCCTTTGTTGGCCCGTTAGCACTCCGAAGCTCAAGTCAGCGCCCCTATCTAGAGAGATAAGTATTTGGGAGTATTTTAGTGAGAGAAGCCAACCTGCGTAAATGCTATCGTCTGCCCCTATTTATACTCACCGAACCCGATGTTGATCTCCGCCACGTCACTTCCCTCATTTAATGCTCTGCGCCCCTAGACAGCTAACCGCCCTGACAGATTCCTGACACCTGACTGGCCTTCCACAGCCCTGCCAGGCTCCTGACACACGACAGGCGCCCGCAGGCCGTGGTCCACCATCCAGTTGATTGCCACCTGGCTTTTGATGCTCTATGTGACAGCTAACCGCCCTGTCAGGCTCCTGACACCTGACAGGCGCCCCTGGCCGTGGTCCACCAGCCGGTTGGCCGCCACCTGGCTCTTGGTACTTTATTCTTTTGGGCTTTGTCCTCTAGCTCGCTGGGTAATACCCCCAACAATTGCCCCCCCAGTTAGGTGCTCGTGGCTTCGCCAACGAGCGCCTGACTGAGTCTCTAGTCGTAGCACAGCCTTCTGCTTAGTTTCAGGGCGCCTGTCACTCGGCGCCTGCATCGTGCTCTCATTTGTTTCTTGTTCCTACAAGGTGCGTTTGCCTTTCTTCCTCCGCGATCAGGCGTCCCGCCTTTGTCTGCGTCCCTTATCGAATATTCCTCTAGGTGCTTCTGTGACCCTTGCCTGCAAAGGCGCCTTTACCCAATCGGGGCGCCTTTTTGATTAGCCCTCCTTTTCGGGCGCTTCATGGTGTCATTCTTGACGAGTGTCCTTATCCCTTATGCCCCCCTCACCCACACTGTGCTTGTGGGGGAAATTTGGATAACAGAAAATTTTGAAATTCGAAATTCGAAATTCAAAATTTGGGAGTTGAGAAATTTCCCCGAAAAGGAGAGTGTGGGGAAAGCTCAAAGGTCCGCCTGTGTTTTGGTGACGCGCGAAAAGACCAAAAGGTGGGAGAGCTGAAGGGTTTCCTTCGGCATGACTGACACGTGTCATGCGATGGGTGAGCCTTCGTTTCTCTTTAAATACCCCCCCCCCCTTGTGATGCTGTCACTTTCTTCTATTTGTCATCTCTCTAGAATCTCGCTCTGACTTCTCTCTAGAATCTTCCGCTCTGACCTCTGTCCTCTTTCCTCTTTGTTTTTCTCGGCCAACACTTGATTCTCGTCCAAAAAAAAAAAAAAATGTCGTCTCCACAACAAGACAAGACTTCTGCACCCGGCGCCTCGGGCGCAGGCGCCTCTGGCGACGGTGGTGAAGCAAGGCGCCCAGTTCAACGTGGTAAGCAGTCTTTTCCTTTCGTTGATTTCGTTGAGTTCTTTTTCTCTAGCCACTTAGGGTAGGGGCGTCACTTACCCCTTGTCCACGTTGCGTCTGGGTCATTTGTTGGTTTAGAGCGGGCGTCTGCTTCCTCGTCAGTTGGGCCGTCAAGTTCGTCGGCGCCTGGCTTCTTGCCCGCCGACGGGTCATACAAGATCACGACGTGGGAGAAGTGCTTCCCACCTGATCATTTGCCCACCGAGACGTCGCACTTGTCTTTCGAGGTGGCTGGGCCCAACCACACGTCGACCATCACCCTGGACCAGGTTCATGAACTGGTGACTAGTCTCCAGCTTCCCAGAGACTGGTGGTATGCGCCTCCATCGCCTCTGTCCCGGGTGGGCGTCTGTGGTCCCAAGTGGATCGGGCTCTACCAGGAGTACTTTCGCTTCGGGCTTCAGTTTCCCCTGGACTCGATCATGGAGGGAATTTTAACGACGTGCGCCTGTCCTCTCGGGCGCCTATCCCCTTCGGTCATCACGGTTGTCATCCTCTTCAAGTTGAGGTGCCGAGAGCACAACGTGGAGCCCACCTTCAACTTGTTCCGATACTTCTTCAAGATGGTGGCTCTGGACAACTGCTTATCCCTCCAAAAGCGCAAGAAGAAAAGCTGCCCCCATCACTTTGTCCAGAAATGCCCTAAGTTGAACCGAAGTTGGTTCAACGGGTTCTTCTTCGTGAAGGCATATCAAGACTCCTTCTTTGCCAGTGGGGGCGCCTTTATGAGGAAATGGGGGCTAGGCCATGTTGACGACTTCAATAAGCCGGTGGTTTTGACGGCGTCTGAGAAAGCAGGCGCCTCCTTAATTTGCGAGGGGGAGCCTGTTGACTTACGCCCCGCCGAGAATCGTCCTCCCATTATTGAAGCTTATTATAACAATGGTGTGTAGGCGTCTAGGTGTTCTGCTTCCTTATCCGTTTGTTTGCGTTATGTACTAACTTACTTTTGTCATATGCAGGGGCGGACTACTCGAGCATTGCCAAGCTCATGAAGAGCAGGCTGGCGGCAATGGCTGCGGAGGCGGCTGCTGCAGCATCTTCCCCGAAAGAGGCGCCGGCTCGGCCAGAGGCGCCTCTTCAACCAGAGGCGCCTTCTGCCGTCCCCAAGAAGAGGAAGGTGAAGAAGAGGGCGGTGAAGGGTGGAACCGCTCAGGCGCACACGGCGAGTGTGGCGTCGTCCGCCCCGGAAGAAGGCGAGGGGACGCCTGATGCCGACCCCGCGGAGAAGGAAGTTAACTCCGCTGAAGAGGAGGAAGAAGAGGAGCCTTTGCTCCGAAAGGGGAAGAGGGCGGGCTCCCCCCTAACCTCGGCCAGCAAGAGAGCTGCCCGAGGAAAGAAGAAGGTGGGCGAAGAGGACGCCTGCGAGGAGGACGCCTTCGACGAGGTGGAAGTGGAGGCGGAGACTGTGGAGGACGCCCGCATTCACTTGAATGAGGAGGGGCGCTACGTTGGCGCCGATGGGCGCCCCCCCATCTTCCGGCCAAGGCGCACCGAGGTGGGACGGGTGAATATGAACTGCTCCCCCCTGGTCGCCGTGGACCGAGGGTGTGCCATGGGCTTGGCAATCGCGGCCGCCAAGTCCTGGCAAATACCATCCGAGGTGACTAGTGATCACCATTTTGCTGAACTTGCCCAAGTGGGCGCTAAGGTATGCCACTTCGTACTTGTATTTTCAGATCCTTCTTACTTATTACTTTGCACCACTTTCTGACCCTTTTCCAATGTTTGCAGATCCTTCTTTTTGCTGAAAGGGGCGCCCGACGCCTCAATGAGACTAAAAG